ACATTTCATTTAAGATTCATAATATTTCCTCATTAAAATGAAGAAAACTGAAATTCAAGAAATATTAAAAAATGTTTATTGGAGCAATAGATTTGTTCAATTTGGGATGATATTACAAAAAAATTTGGCAGAGGTATTTTTGAGCAGTGTCTGATGCCCAGTATCAAATATCATTATTGTGGAGAGTTTATAACGCATGTAAGGGAATTAAAATCATAAATCGGAAACTTATATATGCGAGCTAAAGATATATCCAAACCGAGTTTTAAAGTACAAGCTTCTAGGTTGAATTCCGTCGGAAGTGTCATAATTCACTCCATTTGTACTGATATTTGCCATTTGGTGTACAAAAAAACTGGAATCGGATAAAAATATATGTCTGACCTATATACAAATCTAAACCGACCTTGACAAAAATTAAAAAAACGTAATCCCAAATCGGATGAAATATATATGGGAGTTAGAGCTATATCTGAACCGATTTTGACCAAATTTGATGAACTTGCTTCTAGGTTTATTTCGATCGTATGCACCAAAACGCAAGTCATTTGGACTGATATTGGCCATTTGGAGCAATATCCAAATATATATGGAAGCTATATGTATATCTGAGCTGATTTCCACCAAATTTGAAGTACTTGCTTCGAGGCTGATTTCGGTCGGATGTGCCAAAATTCATGTAATATACACTGATATTGGCCATTTAGTGCACAATTAACCCGAAATCGGTTGAAGATATATATGGGAGCTATATCTAAATTTGAACCACAATAGGGTTTGTCCTTGGGCAAAACCAATCTTTTTTGGAAAATTTTATGTCAATGGGATAATAAATGCGACCTGCATTTTGTTCACAAAAATACATGGACAGACGGACTGACATTCATAAATCGACCCAGAACATGATTCTATGAAGATTCTCAAAAGTAACTATGGACTATCTCGCTTCATTCTTCATATTACAAACAAAGGTTTATAAAGAAGCGAACAGCCCTTTCTCAGACCTGTAGAATCTAAATGAAAAATCTTATCGAAATACGTCAGACAAATATCAGGTGAGTATTTATGCGAATACTGTAGGAGGAGAGCTCTATATGTTAGATAAATGCAAAAATAAATCTGCACCCTTAAATTTCATAATTTAATTCTGGGCTTTGTTCATTCATGCATTTAAATGGCCGCGTTGGTGCGCCACATCACCAAATGCACAGACATGATTGTACAAATTGTCATTAACTTCAATTGCCACTTCTCCTAACTTCACCACTTTCATTTCAATAACCCCCGAACTAAGGTTCAAACACGTTCCGTAGTTTTTCTTTATAGGCATCCGCAAAATATCTAACGTCATTGTCATTATTATCATCATAGACGACAGAGGGGACGACAAACGTCGACTTTGTCTTCATCACCATTTACTTTATTATCACCTTCTGGTTGGTTCTTTGAGAAAAGGAAAATAACGAAATATTAATATACGTTTTTGTCTTTAGGGTGGGTGACAACCAACCACCCAATGTAATTTACAGTTGTTGTAGTAATAGAGTTTTGCTGCGAATAGGATTGCCCTCTCTCAAAAAAAGACAACATATTCTTCACCTTATCTGTGATATGTATACAAAATTTCGACATTCAGCAAAAAAAAAATTGTTTGAAATTTTCCCGAAAGTGCAGTAAAAAAGAAAATATTCAAAGATGTCTTTCAATTTACTGAAAATGTGGGCTCATCTATATAAAAATACCGCAAATCGGAAGGTAGCGTTTCATGGGGGATATGGGAAAACGTGGTCCTTTGGTGACAATAGGGTTTATTATCCATTGATTGACAGATTTAAAACTCAGATAGACGATTTTGAAGTGAGAGATTTTCCCCTGTGTAACTGGAATGGTAATTGACAGCCACAAACTAAACACAAATTGGCAACTCTGACAGTAAAACAGTCCCACACACATACATTCATTCATTTCGTTCACAGTCTCAAAATAGCTTTTAAGTGCAAAAATACAATCATTATATAGACAAAGTTGCCCTAATTTATTTTGCGTGACTAGAATATTTTTTTGCTTTATACTGAGGTATGGGTATCTATTTCAAGGAAGGTTCATTCAACATTTCTTTATTCATTCCACAGAAAATATAGAACATCTTTAAGAGAAATTATATTCCTTAGAGGAAATTGAAATTATCTTAGCTCTGCGATTTCCTTTTTTCAAAGGATAGCTAACTTATATCATAACCAATCCCATTAAAGTTAACACTTTTATATTAGAGAAGCGAATTTGAAGAAGTTAAAAGTTCTCATTGTCATTATACGTTTGATTATTTTATATATATATGGAGCTTCTTATCTCGCCAAGTTAAGTAAATCTAGCTAATGTGTCCGTCCGTCTGTCCATGTTAATTGTAATTACGATACAGGTCGAAATTATTGTCCAATCTTCACGAAATTTCGCATGGACAGAATAGAAGCGTATCTTTTGGGGAGATGATGTCAAAATATTTAGGGGTTGAAATGGACCAAAAACAGAAACATTTCTTGAATTTGTAATTGCTTTAGAGGTCAAATTATAGAACAATCGGAATTGTGGATGGCGCTAGTGTTTATTATGTGGAGGGTGAAATAGACCATAATTTGTATGTAAACACAAGTCAAAAAGCCTTTGAATAACCCTCCTTGATTTGGAACGAATTTGAAAATGTTCAAAAAAAAAAAATATATATATATATAAATTAAAACAAGTAAGTAAAGGCTATAGTCGTGCGGGGCCGACCATATAATACCCTACAACACTACAATATGTTCGAAGTCCCCTTATATCCAAATCCATTTTGGAAGATTTCGTTTTTGAAATAATGTCAAAGAGCCCTGCCAAGAGGTTGCCCTTAGTTTTTTGACCCGGAGAATTTGGCCAATATATACGGACTCCGTAGTTTTGTTAAACATTCAAAATAATTTCACACGAAAGTTGTGGTCCATTTTACAGCTAAATATGATCCAATGGTCAACCAAAATGTTAGACTTCTTCCCCGTCCCTCTCCCTCTCTTCTGATGCGAAATTCCGGGTGTATTAGTTTTCAATTGTGGCCTATAGAGCAACTATTAATTTAGAAAAAATTATTTTTTTTTTAGTCCATTTGCACCTCTAAATCCATATTTTAAGAACAATAGGCTTTAATTCTGACCCCAACCCTACCCCCCATTCAAAATTTCGTGAGGATCCGACGATAAATGCGATATGCATATAATACCCACAAAACGTAGTGTTGGGGGGTGTAAACATTTAGAAAATTAACAATTCAAAATTTTAAGTCAAATTAAAAAAATCGCATGCTATAAAAAATATGACAAAAGATATTACCTCTTTTATTGGTATATTTTTCGCGAATTTCCTAGATTTTATCCGTTTCTGGCAAGGGACCATTCCGAATTGCGGTTCTTGACTTACAAGCACTATATAAATATTATTCTTTTACATATATATTGTACCTATTTTGCTATATATCCAATTTCTTGGCTATTAGCATCACTGTAATGGCCAGAAGTTATCTTTTAATGTATTTGTGATTTTGCTGGGATTGAAAATATTCGCGGTTTAGGGGAAATGTTCCTATTTTCTTACATAAAAGTTAGGGTCTATTTTACCCGCTAATTTTTGTCCGATGTCAGCCCTTTCTCCCCACTCCCATTCTCTAACTCCATGTAAATTTTCGGGTCGATTGGTTTATAATTGTGGCCTATAGAGCAACTGCAAAATCAGGAAATTTTTCTGTTTTTGGTCCATTTCAACCCCTAAATATCGAGCGATCATCTCCAAAAACAATAGGGTTCTATTCTGACCATAACCCCACCTCCATTTTCAATTTCGTGAGGATCGGTTCATAATTGCGACCTGTAGCTTGATTACAAATTAACATGGACAGACGGTCGGACGGACATACATAGCTAGATCGATTCATCTCGGCGAGATAGGAAGATCCATATATACTTTCCTATGTGGGAAACCAATATTCCGAGGTGTTACATAATTTTTGAACCAGTCAAACTCGTAATACCCCCAACACATAGTGTTGTAGGGTATAAAAATAGAATCCATTAAAAATTCTATTAAAGTCATAAAAATAACGAATACAGGGATTTACCTATTAGGAACTTCAAATAAAAATTTGAAACAATTTCGGTGAATAATGTCACTGAAATCATCAAAATACTGAATATACAGATATTTAGGAGCTGTACGAAGTCCTGGACCTGCAAAGACAATTTTCTGTCATAGACTGTAGAACCCATTAGGAATTTCAAATAGGAAATTTGAAACTATTCCTGTGAATAATGTCGCGAAAATCATCAAAATACCGAATGTGGGGTGGTACTGTTTTATGTGGAGTGTCAAATTCGGTGAACATCGGTTCAGATATAGCTATAGCTGCCATATAAATTCCTTATCCGATTTCTCCTCCACAGTCGTAATATGCAACAATGTCCGGAGAAATATATCAAATACAGCTCAGAAATAATTTTGCCAAATTTTATCGAGATCGGTTCAGATTAATATATAGCTCCCATAAATATCTTCGTACGATTTTAAGTTTATTATGCACCAAATTGTTAATATAAGCCCGAATTGAATGGATTTTGGTACATACTAACGAATCCGAATTCTGAAAGGAAGGATATCAAAATCGGTTAATATATAGCTATAGGTCCCATATATAGGTTTTATCCGATTTTGTATTTTACTCTCTCACACCCGTAAAATACTCTTCACAAAAACGATATCTGTTAAATTTTATAGAGATTGGATCAGATTTGGATATAGGTCCCATATATATCTTCATCCGATTTCATTGTTTATTGTGCATAAAGTAACAACTAATAATTTTACACCAACAACATTGTGGTTGTCAATCAAAGAAATTCAATAGTATGGTCTTTCCATATTGTTTTAAGTAAATATTTATTAAAATATTAAATATTTATTTAAATTATTAACTTTTCTTCGTATGGTACTGTGTTTTATATAATTTTATCTATCAATATAAGTGTAGCTTAATCCAATGAATCATTTCAAGCATAAATGCATTCGCATTTTGTGATACGCGGCAAGAGGTTGTGTCTTACAACCCTTGGGGCCAAGCAAATGAAGTGCAATATAATCGTAACAGTCAATCACACCATCCTTATTACAGTCCTCCTGGAAGCGTTGCATATATTTAATAACAGTTTCACGGGAACATTTGTCGTCATTAATACATTGAAGATAGTCTGAAAAATTAAAGAATATTTTCATTAGCTAATGCAAAATAATGAAAAATATATATTTATTAGCGACGGAACATAACGCCCAGCAATGTAATTGTACCCAAACGTAATCAGTTCATATGGCGGTATATACTCATTAAAATATCTAAATTATTTCTGCGTTATCTTAATCAGTCATGTCGTTTACGGAAATTATAGTTCGAAATCATAGCACTGTGACACAAATCTTCGAAAAAATACACAATTCTTCTAATGTTCCAATTGTGGTTTGATGGGCCCAAAATTACAAATATGCCTTTGGTTTTTCTGGGTCTGGGAAAATTGATTTTATAATTATAGAGGCAATCTGAGTTTCTTGGATTTTCATCTTTACACGTGCATAACTTTAATTTTTTACAACGGGTTTGATAAGGATTATATTAAACCAGGGGCCTACTATATGATACCCTACTTTACTATGCATATTTAGTAGAATTCTCGTAACAAAAGAATTTATTTTAAGTAGATCATACCACCTATTAACATTTGACTTTAGAGCAATTAGAGATTGCTTTAGGAGGAAGATTGTATTCAAAAATATATATTGGAGCCTAGTTGCATTTTGGCTGATATTAGCCATTTTTTTAAGAATAAAACTTAAAATAGGATTAGGGAAATATATGAAACCTTAGCCGTTCTTTGACAAATGTATTTCCGAGCTATATAAGATATTTGGTACCAAATATCATAGTTGTCGAATGCATATTACGAATGTGAGAGGCTCAAACACACAATCGGATGAAATATATATTTTGGAGTTATAGCTATATCTGAACCGATTTTCTCCGAATTTCATTTACTTGCTTCTAGACTGAATTCGGTGGAATGTACCAAAATACAGGCCATTTGAACTTATATTAGCCATTTGGTGCACAATTAACTCGAAATCGGTTGATGATATATGGGAGCTATATCTAAATTTGATCCGATTATCAGCAAATACGACCTGTATTTTGTTCACAAGAATACACGGACGGGCGGACGGACTGACGTGGATAAATCGACTCAGAAAGTGATTCTACGAGGATTCTCAAAAGTAAATATGGGTCTATCTCGCTTCCGTCTCCATGTTATAAGCAAATGCACAAAGACATAATACCCTTACCACTATATGGTGTGTATAAAAATATTTATTAGAGCAATAGACATACCGGACTGATTTTCTCCGAGTGGTAAAATTCGGTTGAATATGAAAAAATCTATTCAATTTGGGTTGATATTACATATATGGTGAGCAATAACCGTAAAATCGGATGAAGCTGTATATCGAAGATATATAAAAATCTGAACCGATCTCGATAAAATTTGGCAGAGGTATTTTCGAGCAGTGTCTGATGCACGGTATCAAATATGATTGTTGGGAGATATGATATGGGAGATATAGCTATATTTAAACCGATTTCTTACCACTATATGGTGTAGGGTATAACAAAGTTCTAACTCGTCTATTCTCAAGCGATTTTAATAATTTTTCCAGTTTTTGAAAGCTTATAAAATGTCCTTAAGATAAATAGTACTACGATATGTATAGCACGAAGACAATTTTTTCTTTGATGCCAGTTCCTGTTCTTTGATGCATTTTTAACACTTAAGCCACTGTAACTTTGCCATTTTGTAACCGATTTTAAAAATGGTTGATTTGTTTGCGAGTTAACAATTGACCTTTCAAAGAATATAGAAACTATGCACGTTTAAAATTGAAAATCCAAGAAAGTCGGGTTTCTCTATATTTACCATTATAAAATCAATTTTCGAAGTGACCCATATAAACCAAAGGCATATTCGTCATCTGTGAGCTGCCACAAACCAGAATGGGAAGAATAGAGCAAGTGCGTATTTATGCTGTCGCACAGTGTAGTTTTTGAGCAGAAACTTGTCAAACCCATAATTTATCATAGTCATTGGTATTTTTTTTTTAGCAAAAAAAGCTTGTTGCCATTTTTTTTTTCAATATTAAAATTGCTTTGTCACAAACAAAAATGAATCATTAAAAAGTTCAATAAATTACCTCGGAATTCCTCTTCGCCACCAGTATAATAATTCAAATTGCCATTAAGTACTGTTTTACCACTATCCATCCAATAGCTGTGGGAAATTTCAAATATTCCACATGTATACGTTTTCAAACATTTCACCGGCTTGCAATCATTGATGGTTGTACAAAGACAATGCATGCACTGCTCATCCATAGGCTGTATCTTGTTATCACTAGACTTACGACGTGTTCCATTACTACCGTTTGTCATATTTTCCAATAATATTATCTTAACATTTTCACTTGTTGCCTCTTTTGCTAAAGAAATACAAAAGCCTTACAAATAATATAATGGTATATTGGATATTATTTTCAAAACATACCTTTCATTTTTTCAGATACTAATTTGACTTTATGATTGAAATGTGTCCCATGTCCAAAATGTCGAAATGCCATTCCAATAACTAGGATTAGACATATTGATGTGACGGCTATGGACAGTTGTTGTTTCCTTTGTGATGTTAGCATTTTGATGTTTATTTTTCAACTGTCTGGTGAATATATAAATTATGATTTTCACAGTTGTATTATTGTTTTTTTATACCCTCCACCATACTTTGTGGAGTATATTAACTTTTTTATTCCGTTTGTAACTTCTCGAATAATAATGAAATTGTTTAAAATTTAGTATTTATAGTTAGCAGTGTTTTAACATCCAGGAGTAGAATAATGTCTACATAGATCCACGTCTTCCCATAGCCCCCTTATAATGGTACCGCCCGAAATTTGGTATTTAAGGCTATATTTTTCAGCAGATATTTTTACAAATTGATATTTGATGTTCACTGTAGCAGATATTTGTCTGCATAGCGTCACGTTATCAAATAGCCCCCATAAAGCTGTACTCACCGGTATTCCTAATTTTGATGATTTTAGGCATATTTTTATTGGAATTGTTCCAAATTTGGAACTTAAAATCCAAATAAAACAGAAAATTGTCGTTAACTGCATTCTCTAACAGTTATTTATTTATTTACTAGCTGGACCGGTCCGCGTTTCCGGTCCGTAGTTTTTGTCTATTATGCATATTTGTCAAAGCATAATTATTCACAGATATGACTGATATAAGTGTTCACGTACTGCTCGATTAAAAGTGTTTTAAAATACCTGTACTCATATTTAAGCAGTGGGCTTCAAATGTGTGGATGTGCTATACAAATCTATTAAAAAGTATATATCAATCTTATCCCCATGTAAGGGATCAAATTAATTTTTAGTATGGTAAAAATCGTAGCAAAAATTTCCAATCAAATTAGCAGTAATTTGGAATTTTATGTATTTTGTACACCTCATAATTGAGGGCTGAATGATTTAAGAATAGCCAAAGTTAATTACTTTTTTAAACCCATTAGCACCTCAGATTGTGCATTAGAGTCCTCATAAGTCCGACTAACCATGTCTGTCTGTTTGTCCGCCAAAAGGCGGACTTGAGGGGGTACTATTACATGGAGAAAATTCTAAAATTTGTAGATATGTTTAAATTTTTGTGTAAGATTTTCACCCCCAAATACACATTTTTAGCCAAACCCTAAAAAATTGTATTAAAATCAGGGGGTACCTTTATATGGGCACTACTCCGAAACATCGACCTACATTGAAAACTTTTTTCTACCCCTTATAATCCAAGATGACAAATAGAGGCCAAATCAAAAATATAGCAGAACAACATAACATGTCAAACTGAAAAAAATTTCGCGTGATTTAAATAAGTAAAAATAGTTTTATCCACCTCATAATTGAGGGCAGAATGATTTCAGAATAGTCAAATATAATTACTATTTTACACCCATTACCGTAAGACCCCATAAAGTCCATATTTTTCATCATAGTATAATTCTACTACTACTTTACTACTTCTACTTTCTACTTTCTTATATTTCTAATTTGTTTATGTTTTCACAATTTATTTCATAAAGATATACATTCCAAATCCCAACCAATATTCTCCTGGGGGTTACAAATTCAATAGAATACAACATTTTCTTTTCTGATCACACATTAGATGTGAAAGTGGACTTGGGGATACTCCAATGTGGGGACTTTACTTAAATAAATTCCAATGTGACAATTATCTGTATGATGGTTTCCTACCCCAGGGCAGCATAAACACAATTTTTTAGCCAAATCAATTGATGAATGTGATCAAGACCAATATGGGCCCTACTCTGAAAATTTCAAATTTTATGCGAAGAGGTTCTCTACCCCTTAGAAACAAAGATGCCAAATAAGTGCCAAAAATGAAAAAAGTGACCAAGACCCCAAAAATAGCTTAAATCATACGATGGTTATATAAATATGAAATCGGGTTGTAATCTTATCCGTGAGTTATGATCGATATCATGACCTGAATTTTGCATTTTGAGCTCTCATTGGACGGATTATTGTTACATGAAAGAAGTAGGTCCACGCTTTGAAATGAGCCCCATTAGGCTTTTTTGGTCATTTTTGTTAGCTTAAATGTGTTCGCATCTTCCAGCTGAACCACGATGTAGGCCCTGGAGTTGAAAGGTAGATGTCAGTTAACATCCTATTTCGCACTTATTTCATTTTTTTTTTTGGTGAAAAATTTGTCTTTATTTTGTTCACAAAAAATCCACCGAATTCAATATGATAATACAAATTGAAAAAAATTGACAAAAAAAAAAAAGAATAACAAATTGAAAAAATCTTCAACTTTTTACAGCAAATGTTTAAAGATCCTCACAAAGTTTGTACTATTATTTTAAAATTCGATCCCATTGACATTTTTTTCGATTTGAGAATTTTTGCAATAAGATCTCTTTTTCGTGATTTTTTAACGGTTTTGAAAAAGTAATTATATATTAACTTTGGTTTTATTTAGCTTTGCCACCACATAATTCGGTACTACACTTCCATGTAACCCGCCCTCAATTACAGTTCTCAAGAAATCATGTCAATTAAATAAACTGGTATTAATATTCGAATTCAAAAATAAGATATAAAAAACACTACAAATGTACATTAGAAAAAAGTAAGTCAAAATGGAAAAAATCATGCAAAATAAAACATTACTATTGTACATTTCAAAAGTCAAAATGAAAATGTTAATATATATCACATTTTTACGCGATTTGTTTGGATATTATCCTTTTCGAACAGCAGACAATTCCGAATATGTATGAATCGTTAAAATCAGTCCAGCGGTTCTTAAGTTATAAGCGTAGTAACTAACACAACTTTCTTTTATATATAGATTATTAAAATGGAACACGTTTTAATAATAAATTATGAGATTATTTCTTTTTAAAGGTTTTGTATACTTCATAGTGTAATGTTTAAAAAGATCGACCCGACCGAACATAGCATTGTTTTACTTGTTTATTCAGAAATATTTTATCAAAGGGGTGACTGAAAATGTGGTTTAATTTTAAAAATAAATATTGAATATCTCGAGTCGCTGTAAGAAACAAATGAAAACCAGTAAAGAAAGCCCCGCCCGACTTTATGATACCCTACACCACTTTGATAATTTAGTAGAGCTCCACATAACAATTAACAGTTTTTATAGGAGAATTCAATCATACATTATTATAATTATAATTTAAAGTTAAAAGGAGCAAATATACCGAAGCATTTGTGTCTTTTAAATTCGGACTTGTATTGCCCATTTGGTGCACAATTAATTTGAAATCGGATGAAGATATATATGGGAGATATATCCCAATCTGAACCGATCTCGATAAAATTTGGCAAAGATATTTCTGAGCTGCATTTGATATATTTCCCCAAATATTGTTGTTACAGAGTGAATATTACGGCTGTGGGTAACAAATACTACAAATCGGATGAAAAATATATATGGGAGCTATAGCTATATCTGAACCGATCTTCATCAAATTTGGCATACTAGCTTCTAGACTCAATTCGGTCGTAAGTGCCAAATTTCATCCCATTTGGGCAAATATTAGACGTTTGGTGCACAATAAAAGGTAAATCGGACAAAGTTATATATGGGACATATATCCAAATCGGAACCGATCTCGATAAAATTTAGCAATTGTATTTCTGAGCTGTATTTGATATATTTACCCAAATTTTGTGCATATTACGGCTGCGGAGGACAAAAATAATAAATCGGATGAACAATATATATGGGAGCTATAGCTATATCTGAACCGATTTCGATCAAATTTGGCATACTTTTTTTAAGGCCTAATTTGCATGTGCAAAATTCCATAATTTTCGGCTTGATATTACACGTTTGGTGCACAATAAAAGGCAAATCGGACGAACATATATATGGGAGCTATATCTAAAATTTGACCGATTATTTCCAATTTCAATAGGGTTCGTCCTTGGGTCAAACAAATGACATGTGCAAAATTTCATCTCAATCGGATAATAAATGCGACCTGCATTTTGTTCACAAGAATACATGGACAGACGGACGGACGGACAGACGGACTGACATGCATAAATCAACTCAGAAAGTGATTCTATGCAGATCATCAAAAGGAACTATGGGTCTATCTCGTTTACTTTTGCCTGTTACAAACAAATGCACAAAGACATAATACCCTTACCACTATGTGGTGTAGGGTATAAAAACTTACAGCGAGTGAAAAAGTAGTAAGTTCGGCCGAGTCGAACTTCGTATACACTCTCCTATTTGGAAGGAAATCGCAAATTTTCAACAAACAAATGCGACCTTATATTACGAAATTTGAAACAATTTCAGTGTATAATGTCGCCAAATCATAAAAATAACGAATATAGGGAGGGGTCACCGAATATAGGGAGGGATTTCAGTCACAGGATGTAGAACCCAATATGAACTCTAAATATGAAATTTGAATCAATTCCCGTGGATAATGTCGCAAAAATCATCAAAATACCGAATATAAGGAGGAACCGTTATATGAGGTCTATACGAATACCTGGACCTGCATATGCAATACGAAATTGAAACAATTACGGTAAAAAATTTCGCTAAAATCATCATCAATATCGAATATTGGCGGGTACCTTTGTATATTCCATATCGTGAACCTATATTTACAATTCTCTTGCAGGGGATAAAGTACTCAGAAGTAACTCCTGGTGTGGATTTTCAGACAATTTCATTGAAAAGTTTGGCTACAATCATCAAAGTACCGAATATCGGGAGGTGCCGTTTTTTTGTATATGGGGATATACGATTTCGTAAACCTATATGGACAATTCTATTTCTGGGAGTAAAATACTCACAAGGATCTCCTTGCGTCAATTTTAAGACGATTCCATAAAAAATGTGGCCAAAATCATCAAAATACCGATTATGGGGGGTACATCTCAGAATTTTACGCTGACCAAGAATATATATATGTATATATGACAAATACATCAAAGACGCACCTCTGACCTTTACATTGATACTGATTTCCATTAACACGACATAGGGCGCCTAACCCCATAGTTCCGATTAAAAGCCAAGATAAAACGTTTGCAGGACTGTGACATTATTTAACCAGTAAAGAAAGCCTTAAAGTCGGGCGGGGCCGACTTTATGATACCCTACACCACTTTGCTATTTTAGTAGAGCTCCACATAACAATTAAAAGTTTTTATGGGAGAGTTCAATCATACACGCTACGATTATAATTACAATTTAAAGTTCAAAAGACTCAATATGCCAAAGCATTTGAATCTTTTAAATTCGGATAAAGATATATATGGGAGCTATATCCAAATCGGAATCGATCTCGATAAAATTTGGCAAAGATATTTCTGAGTGGTATTTGATATATTTCCCTAAAAACCGTTGTTACGGAGAGCATATTACGGCTGTGGGTAACAAATATAACAAATCGGATGAACATTATATATGGGAGCTATAGTTATATCTGAACCGATCTTCACCAAATTTGACATACTAGCTTCTAGACTCAATTCGGTCGTAAGTGCCAGATTCCATCTCATTTGGACAAATATTAGACGTTTGGTGCACAAAAAAGGGTAAATCGGACGAAGTTATATATGTGAGCTATATCCAAATCTGAACCGATCTCGATTAAATTTAACAAAGGTATTTCTGATCTGCATTTAACATATTTCCCCAAATATTGTTGTTACAGAATGCATATTACGGCTGCGGAGGACAAAAATAACAAATCGGATGAACAATATATATGGGAGCTATAGCTATATCTGAACCGATTTCGATCAAATTTGGCATATTTATTTGGGCCCAATTTGGTTGTATGTGCAAAATGTAATACTATTTGGGCAAATATTAGACGTTTGGTGCACAAAAAAGGGCAAATCGGACGAAGATATATATGGGAGCTATATCTCAATTTTTACCGATTATCTCCAATTTCAATAGGAGGTAATAAATGATATGTGCAAAATTTCATCTGGATAGGGCAATAAATGCGAACTGTACTTTGTTTACAAAAATACATGGACAGACGGACGGACATGCATAAATCGACTCAGAATGTGATTCTATGCAGATCATCAAAAGGAACTATGGGTCTATCTCGTTTCCTTTTGCCTGTTACAAACAAATGCACAAAGACATAATACCCTGACCACCTTGTGGTGTAGGGTATAAAAATGAAATTAAAATATTGAATACGTATCTGTTTTGTCTGGTTAATTCGTTTCCGTTTTTTATTAATTACATATATTGATAAACTGTTTCATCTATCTTTTCTGCCTTTACGGTACATTGTTCTTAAATAAAGTACTAAGGTATTAGTTTTTCTTTTTTCCAGAAAATGTCACCTCAGTATGCATACACTCGTTTATATCCAGGAACATAGTATCGGTGAGTTTAAATAAAAATTCCTAATTAAATATATATTTATTTGTTATTTTTATGACAGTTACACTTTAAAGACATAAATGTAATATCTTTTTATGTAATGGAAGTTAAATTCATTTCTTTGAGACACTGATTCATTCGAAATTTTTGTATTAGAGGGAACTTCTGGTATGTACATCCAGATGGTCCAAACACATGCAGAGATATAAAATCAGCACAGTCAATAACTCCATCTTTATTACAATCTCTGCGATATCGTTTAAGATAAGAATTTATTGTATTTTTTGCACACGCGTCATTGACGACACATCGTAAATAATCTGAAAAAGAAAAAAAAAAAAAACAATAAGATTATTTAAAATTATTGTTGATATAACTATATGAGTTTATCCAAGATATTATCGCAGAGTTTCGCGTTTAAAGTAAATCCCCGCCGAAGATAATGAGTCTATAATACTAGGGTTTATTTTAAAAGCTTTCTCTTTTACTATGTTAAAATATTTTGCAGTTCTTTGTACATTTACGAAATGACGCCAGAAAAAAACTTTGCTTGTCATATTTGTGTAAATATTATTTACATTTTAATACCCTCCACCATTCGGTTTAATATTTTTCTTTTGATATGCGATAAAAGTATAGATTTATTTTCTTTAGGTATTTATAGTAACATTTAATGAAATATATTTTGATATTTGGGGTCATCCGACATTTGTCATTAAGATCTTCAAATACGAAATTTCATCATCAAAATACCGAATATTTGGAGGATATGGTGGAGCGACATGACCCATTTACAAAATTAACCTGCCAACTGGCAAAATACACACATTCCAACAGCATTCAGCAAGCGCCACCCAAGAATGGTTACAAAATGAGGTTCCTCGCTTCATTTCCAGCGCACAATGGCCACCAAAATCTCCGGATACCAATCCGTTGGACTATTGTGTCTGGAGCATTTTAGAAAGCAAGGTTGGTACTAAAAAATACCAAAGTGTCAATCACCTCAAGCAAGCGCTTCGCCAGGAATAGGCCAAAATACCGCAGAGCATCATTCGGGCAGCGTGTGACGCTTTCATTGGCCGTTTTGAGGGCCATAATTCGTGCAAAACCAATTCGAATAAATCTAAACATATTCTAAAATCTGGTGCTATTTCCGGCATTTGTTGTTTTCATTCAATAAAATTAAATAAAAGTAAAAATTATGGCGTTTGACTTTTGCATTTTTTTATCTCACCCTGTATATGCGAGCTATAGCTATATTTGAACCGATTTTCTCCAAATTTGATGTACTTTCTTCTAGACTGAATTCAGTTGGAGGTGTCAAATTTAAGGTCATTTGTACCGATATTGGCCATCCACCAAGCACAATTAACCCAAAATCGCTAGAAGATATATGGGAGCTATATCTAAGTTTGAGCCGATTCTCACCAATTTTAATAGGGTTCGTCCTTGGGGCAAACTAATTTGGTTTGGAAAATTTAATCTCAATCTGATAATAAATGCGGCCTGCACTTTGTTTACAAAAATGCATGGACAGACAAACGGACGGGCTGACATGAATAAATGGTGTCAAAAAGTGATTATATGAAGATTCTTAAAAGTAACTATGGGTCTATCTCTCTTCCTTCTCCCTGTTACAAAAAATGGGCAGAGACATAATATAACTATGTGGTGCAGGGTATAATTACGTACGAGAGATCGCATGCAATATAAAACCAGTAAAGAAAGTCTTAAAGTTGGGCGGGGCCGACTTTATGATACCCTACACCACTTTGCTAATTTAGTAGAGCTCCACATAACAATAAAAGTTTTTATGGGAGAATTCAATCATACACGCTATGATTATAATTATAACTTAAAGTTCAAAGGACTAAATATGCCGAATTGTATTGCCCATTTGGTGCACAATTAATTTGAAATCGGATAAAGATATATATGGGAGCTATATTCAAATCTGAACCGATCTCGATGAAATTTGGCAAAGATATTTCTGAGCTGTATTTGATATATTTCCTGAATATCGTTGTTACGGAGTGCATACTACGGCTGTGGGTAACAAATATGACAAATCGGATGAACAGTATATGTGGGAGCTATAGCTACATCTGAACCGATCTTCACCAAATTTGATATACTAGCTTCTAGACCCAGTTCGGTCGTAAGTGCCAAATTCTATCCCATTTGGACAAATATTAGACGTTTGGTGCACACTAAAAGGTAAATCGGACGAAGTTATATATGGGAGCTATATCCAAATCTGAGCCGATCTCGATAAAATTTAGCAAATTTATTTCTGAGCTGTATTTGATATATTTCCCCAAATATTGTTGTTGCTGAGTGCATATTACGGCGGCGGTGGACAAAAATAACAAATCGGATGAACAATATATATGGGAGCTATAGCTATATCTGAACCGATTTCGATCAAATTTGGCATACATATTTTCAGACCTAATTTGGGTGTATATGCAAAATTCCATACAATTCGGGCTGATATTACACGTTTGGTGCACAATAAAACACAAATCGGGCGAAGATATATATGGGAGCTATATCTAAATTTTGACCGATTATTTCCAATTTCAATAGGGTTCGTCCTTGAGTCAAACAAATGATCTGTGCAAAATTTCATCTGGATCGGGCAATAAATGCGACCTGTACTTTGTTTACAAAAATACATGGACAGACGGACGGACGGACAGACGGACGGACATGCATAAATCGACTCAGAATGTGATTCTATGCAGATCATCAAAAGGAACTATGGGTCTATCTCGTTTCCTTCTGCCTGTTATAAACAAATGCGCAAAGACATAATACCCTGACCACCTTGTGGTGTAGGGTATAAATACTGCCGTCAGATATAGTTGAATTCGGTTAAAATCTGGCTTCCAAGTGCTGACTTTTGTCCTTTCTTTGTTTTGTCTATTTGTATTCAGTAAACTCTCAAGACGCACGTGTCAAAATTTCCCTTTCACGTCTCTCTTCTATTGGACTGAACATCCAGTATATTTCGTTACAAAATATCAGGTAAAAATATCCGCATATTATTCGCCGAAAAAAAAACTTACCGTTATGCTCCTCCTCTTCTGTGTTATTCATGCTTCGTTTATCCTTTACAACTTGTTTCCCACCATCAATCCAATATAGTTTTGATATACCATAAACGCCACAAGGATCTGTAGTTTGACATTTGACTGGACGACAATCACTTGCTGTTACGCAAAGACATTTTAAACATTTATCCGATATGACATCCATGGCATTCCCAGAGAATGATTGCACATTGGACGCAGTGCTGTAGTCATTGGCATAATCATTGTCCACCACATATGAATCGGATGATGTGAATTCATCCGATTGCTCCGCAGAATTCATGCCGCCATATTGTGACATAGTTGTATAGGATTCATCATTTGCATATTCCCCACTGTTTGCCGAACTATAATCCTCCTCTATGTTTTGAATAAATTGTTTAGTTGATTTTATGACACTTTCTGTACTGCCGGTATCATCTCCATCCTTGGGGAAAATATCTAAAGTTAGGATACATGATAAGATCACAAATATATATCGTCTATCGTGCAGTGTAATCATGTTTGCAATTTTTGGAAGAATTCATACAATTTTAAAGCTGGCTTTACATACCAACACCAGTCGTTGGATGCACTCGATCATCGCCGATATTTAAACGTCCGAAATGGTGTTTCTGTCGTATGTGAAGGTATATCGAACCGACAATCAAGCCAAACGACACAAGTATGGCAGCAATAACAATTTTTTGATTTAATTCTTTTATGAGCACCATATTTGTTTTATGTAAAACTAATGGTATTTCTCAGTTTTTTTGTATTTTATTTTGTTTTGAATTCTTTTTCACTTTTGTCCAACGTTTACAATAATCAAACAATTTCACGAATTGGAATTTCATGCGCTAAGAGTAATGTTTGCGGATAGAAAAGAGCAATCGGATGCTGATAAAACATTCGTGGTGCCTCATTTGCTGATAACCTTTTTCCATTGCGGTGGACTTTATTTAAATTAAAGTCAGCATTTTAATACAACGACAACGCTTCAATGGCATGTTTATATTCAAAATGCGATAGCGAGGATAGGCATAGAAACCACAATGTATTTACACATTTGTAATTTCTGTTTAAAAAAATGCTATGCATTTAATGCGAAAAGTACGAGGGAGGACCAATAAGTCTGTGACCGGTGTGGGAGACCCGTTAATTTGTTTGTGTATAATAATTATAACCAATTCCCAAAACACAAATAAACGGCTCTGGAGAAAAAGATTCAGGTCAAATATTGACTTTTTTTGGAAGGAATACATACTACTGACAAAAGTCTCTCAGAACTTAACATGAGACTCCTATCTAAAGGTACTTGATTAGATCGTTTTTATACCCTCCACCATGGTATGGATGGTATATTATTTTATCAGCGTAAAAATCTATCTGGATTTAGCGATGTCCGTTCCCATGTCTGTGAAAATCATATTATATATTAAATTGAATATGGGCTTTATAAGTCCACGTTTTGATATATCCCCTATGTAACTGTACCTGCAGATTTAAGTTCTTTTGGTTGTTTGGTCACAATTTAAATCCGAATTTGCTGTAAATAGGCTGTTTGTGTGTTTCAGTCGTTGCATAGAAATATCCGCTAGCCTCCAGATATTCAGTATTTTGATGATTTGAGCCCCATTTTTACCGCAATTGTTTAAAATTTGGTATTTGGAGTTCATAATGATTACTATCTTCTATGACAGAAAATTTCCTTTACAGATTTACGCCTTCGTATAGCCCCCATGCAACGGCACCTCCCCGATGATGTTGGCTACATTTTTCAACAGAATTATCTCAAACTTGAGTTCGTTATAGGCATCACCTTCTCAGGCAGACGTAATCAGAATTTCAAGGATTTTTTTAAATTTTGCAAAGTTTATTCGCAATGGTGGAGGGTATGAAAAGATCGGCCTTGTCGAACTTAGCTTATTCTTAGGAGTTTAAAAATTTTGCATCCTTATAGAACTATCCTCGTATTTGAAAAAAAAAAACAGTAAAGAAAGACCTAAAGTCGGGCGGGCCGAATTTTTGATACCCTACAACACTTTGATAATTTAGTAGAGCTTCACATAACAATTAAAAGTTTTTATAGGAGAATTCAATCATACACGCTATGATTATAATTTAAAGTTAAAAGGAGCAAATATACCGAAGCATTTGTATCTTTTAAATTCGGACTTGTATTGCCCATTTGGTGCACAATTAATTTGAAATCGGATGAAGATATATATGGGAGATATATCCCAATCTGAACCGATCTCGATAAATTTTGGCAAAGATATTTCTGAGCTGCATTTGATATATTTCCCCAAATATTGTTGTTACAGAGTGAATATTACGGCTGTGGGTAACAAATATGACAAATCGGATGAACAATATATATGGGAGCTATAGCTATATCTGAACCGATCTTCATCATATTTGGCATACTAGCTTCTAGACTCAATTCGGTCGTAAGTGCCAAATTTCATCCCATTTGGGCAATTATTAGACGTTTGGTGCACAGTAAAAGGTAAATCGGACAAAGTTATATATGGGATATATATCTAAATCGGAACCGATCTCGATAAAATTTAGCAATTGTATTTCTGAGCTGTATTTGATATATTTCCCCAAATTTTGTTGTTACAGAGTGCATATTACGGCTGCGGAGGACAAAAATAATAAATCGGATGAACAATATATATGGGAGCTATAGCTATATCTGAACCGATTTCGATCAAATTTGGCATACTTATTTTAAGGCCTAATTTGGTTGTATGTGCAAAATTCCATAAATTTCGGCTTGATATTACACGTTTGGTGCACAATAAAAGGCAAATCGGACGAACATATAAATGGGAGCTATATCTAAAATTTGACCGATTATTTCCAATTTCAATAGGGTTCGTCCTTGGGTCAAACAAATGACATGTGCAAAATTTCATCTCAATCGGATAATAAATGCGACCTGCATTTTGTTCACAAGAATACATGGACAGACGGACGGACGGACAGACGGACTGACATGCATAAATCAACTCAGAAAGTGATTCTATGGATATCCTCAAAAGTAACTATAGGTCTATCTCGCTTTCTTCTCCATGTTACAAACAAATGCACAAAGACATAATACCCTTACCACTATGTGGTGTAGGGTATAAAAACATAGCGGCAGTGCGGAATCAAGACATGTATACAGTTAAATGCGGCCTCTTATTAAGAACTTGAGATACTAAGTATTAAACAAGTAAAAAGCAGTTAAGGTCCAATTTGTATACCCTGCATTATTCGAAAAATTTAAAAACAAAGATATACGATATCGTGGAGACAATTATCTTTCAGGAGGTAATTTACTCAGAAGAAACTCCTTGTGTGGATTTTAAGCCAATTCCATTGAAAGATGTGGTAAAAACAATAAAATACCGAATATCGGGGGGTACCGTTATGTGGGGGCCATTCAATATCGTGGACCGATATAGACCATCTTCGAATACTGATCTGTGCAAAATTTTAGCTTTCTATCTTAATTCATTTTGACTCTAGAGTGATTATAACAGACGGACGGATGGGTTAAATCGTCTTAGAATTGTACGCTGATCAAGTGTATATATACTTTGTTGGGTCGAAATGACGAACTTAATATAACCTCCATATTATGTTTGGTGAAGAGTATAAAAATACCTAAAATCAGGGGATCATATGGGCGCTGTATGAAATCGTGGACCTGTATAGGCAATTTTTCTCCAGAGAGGACGGTACCTATTGCGAACTTAAAAAGCCTCCTCTCCACAATTTGGAAAGTTACACGTGTTAAATTATGTCCATGGGCGCTGAGGTGTAGTGTTTGAGCGGTGTTATTAGCAACTCGTTATACAAGTTTAAAATATGAAAGGATGACATGGCTAGATCGACAGAGAATTTTTTGAGGATAAAGAATAAATATAACCTCCATACTATGTAAAATTCCACAACGATCTTTATAATACTTAAAGTGGAGCTATGTTACAGGACAGAGTACCAGAACACAATCAAACACTCTAATAAAAAACTTCGTAAAACTAAACTCCATTTTAACAATGCAATATCATACTTCCAAAAACTATATAAACAAAACTTATGTTAAAATTACAATTTCTGTATGCCATTATATAGCAATTATTTATTAATCAGAAACCACTTCGTCCATGTTTCCAGATGATAATTCTGTCATGCGCAAGTTTTTAATTAATATTTTAATCAGCGGTAATTTAATTAGCATAATTATTAAGAATGGCCAACGTTATAGGCCTTTATAACCGGCTGTCTTCCTGTTCGCGCACACTGCTACCCACACTTGTAATTCTTAGTTTTCTCTATTCTTCTATAACCGTCGTTAGTGACTGACTGGCTGACTGGAGGCAAACGTTCCCGGCATTTGCATAACAATCGTCATTTGAATGAAAAGGATTCAGTCATTCAGCCACTCATTCCTTTTAATTTCTGTTGGGTTGTTATTAACGCTTAACTCATTTAAAATAAAATATATCAGCAAAAATATACAATTCGTTTAGAATGAATTAATATTTTTAATTAAAAGTGCTTTGCTTGGCACGAATTGAAATCTTGATGACAAGTATTAAATTGAGTTAACAAATTAATGCAAGGTATATGGAAATTTGAATGTTAACGACAAGTACCCGATTTGTGAACTTCATTTTTTGGTATTTCTTATTTCATATATAACACTTAGGAAGGGTTGATCAAATGACACCAACATTTCCATGACAAAAGCTGTAGAGCTTTTAAATCCTCTTTAAAAAAAACTAACTTCTATTAAGGAAATATATATTTTTATACCCTCCACCATACTTTGTGGAGTATATTAATTACCCCTCCTTCATATATTCTTGATCAGTATTAAATTCTATGTCGATTTAGCGATGTCCGTCCGTCCGTCAGTGGAAATCACTCGAGCTTCCGAACGAAATGAAGTAAGTTGATAAAATGTTACTCAAATGTGTGATATTGAAGATGGGTCATGTAGGTCCACACTTTGGCATAGCTCATATAATGGTACCCCTCTTTTTCGGTATTTTGTTGATTTAAGCGACATTATTTACTGGAAATATTTGAAATATTTTTGGTTTGTTTTGTTTGGTTTTTGAAGTTCGTAATGGATAGTACAGCCTAAGACAGAAAATTGTCTGTGCAAGTTTACGTTTGGGTATAGCCCCATATAATATAATGATATCTCCCTATATTCGGTATTTTTATGATTTTAGCTACATTTTTCACCGAATTTATCTTATTAAGCTTCGTATTTGAATATTGTACTGACATATGATTTGTAAGATTTTAACAGAATTTTCAACGGATTTTATTTTATTTATTTATTTATTTTCTTTTTTTGATAATTACCAAATTCGTTCCTAATGGTGGAGGGTATTCAAAGTTCGGCCTGTGATTTTACAGCGTTTCTACTGTTTTTTTTTTTAATTTTATGGAGATTTCAGACTAAGATTTTGTGGAATCTTTGCATTTTAAATATATATTGTATGCGACAATATTACTGAAAACAATACGAGAATTATTTTGTTTGAAAATAAAAAATATATATATATATTAAATTTCACTATACTATATATAATTATTTCAGGTTCAAACCGCAGTTGATTTTTCTCTATAGTAATACTAGTGTCAAATTCGACATGACGTTTTGTGATTTAATTCAACTTTTTGATATGCAATAGGCATACACTTTGTATACCCTACACCACACAGTGGTAAGGGTATTATGTGTTTGTTCATTTGTTTGTAACATGGAGAAGGAAGCGAGATAGACCCATGTTACTTTTGAAAATCTTCATAGAATCACTTTCTGAGTCGATTTGTGCATGTCAATCCGTCCGTCTGTCCCTGTATTTTTGTGAAGAAAATGCAGGTCTCATTTATTATCCGTTTGAGATTAATTTTT